ATCAGAGGGTGTAAACGCAGTGTGCTGTCATCTGCATATGAAGGCAACTTTTGCGCTGCGACTGCACGCTGGATGTCCTGAGAGAAGCAATACGAAACGCTCGTTCCATTCTCTAAACCGCTTTTGCCCTCTCAGTACGGCGGCCAAAGAGGCAAGCTGCTTCGTTTTCGACAGAGGACAAACCGAAAAGGAAAAGAGCGGCGCTCCAGCCTTCGGCTTGCCGCCACACAGATTCTGACACGGCCACCATGTTTCTATAACAAGCAGATCTGCACCGCTGGCAAGCAGGTGGAACTGCCTTGAAACCTCGCAGGCACGAGATGAACGTTTTAACACTACAGTACAAGTCCTCGTCTTGCTAGACACTCAACGAGTATCCATTTGAAGTACAGAAAAGGCAAATAACGGATCGGTCAGACTGGGTCGTTTGACTGACCGTAGAAGCTGGCGAGGCAGTGCATGTGCTCCGGTGTGTACTTGAGCATGCGGTGCCGCCCGTTGCGGTCCTCGAGGCTGTACACGGGGAGCGTCTGGAAGCGCCGCCATCCGAGGGACACAACCAAGGGATCCCGCGTCTTGAGCACCCTGCGAGCCCAACGGTGCTTCTTGACACGCACCTGCCGAAATGGAAAATGTGTCGATCAAAACTTCCGGCTACAATCAGGTTAGGCAAGGTGCACGATCGCTTGGTATCGCACCAGGCGTGAGAGCACCCTGCGGCCCTATTGTGCTTCTTCGCACGCATATGTCAAGAATCGAAAGAGAACTGGGTAAAAAGCCATTAAACTCAAGATGGAGATCCGAGGAAGGGGTGATATAGTAAATGAGAGGAACCAGGTCGACCGGTTGTTCGGCTTCGAGTTGGAACCGGTGGTTTTAGTCCTTAATATTCCACCAAGCGTAAGAGGCGTGTATGAGAACACCACAGCGGAGCTGACACAGGTATATCGTGTCGTCACTTCTCAACACGCGTTCGGCCCCCTCGCCTCGAGCACTTCTCAAAACTCCGCTTCGTAGTAACATTCTCCTACCCGAACGCACAAAAACTGAAATCCAACTTGCAACGAAACGTGCCTCCTCGTCTGGTGAAGCTTGCGACATGCATATCGAGAGCAAGTAAGAGAAGAACCTCGTAAAGCCTACAATTAAGATACAGAAGCATCCGGCGACTGAGCCCTCACCGTCATGTAGCCGACGGCCTCCTCGGCCTGGCCCAGGCCGCCAACTAGGATGGGAAAGCGCGGGTCGAAGTTGGCCACCAGCTCGCACGGCACGCCCTGCAGCTCCAGCCGGACGTACGTCCCCGCGCGGTAGCCCTCCATGCTCACCTGAAAAGACACAAGATCAATTCAGGTTATGCGAAAACCTTCCAAAGCAGGAATGTTTGAGATGATGCTCGTCGGCACTTGCATACTAACCAGGGCACCCTCAAAGTCACCACCAATACCTTGATTTTCAAGGACTGGCAGCTGATTGGGAAATGTCTTTGCTGGGAAAGTGGTAGAACGAAACAACATGGCGCTTTTGAGTTTGAAAGTACGGCAGATTGACTTGTAACCTACAAGCAATCCTTGTCCGCGTATAACAAGACTGGAACTCCTCGCAACCAACTTTTGAATTCGGCGACATTGCCACTGTACATCGAACCAAAACCCAAGCAACTCAACACCAAGGACTCGTTTACACTTCTGATGATGTACGCTTCCGCACAAACACGCTTGGTGAGATGATAAGAAGACCTCATCACGACCGGCGCTTCATAATAAGGTTCAGAAACGACTCGGTAATCGATCATCTGGTTTCATCAACGCGACTGAAAGTGACGTCGGCCCTAGCAAATCACCACTTATCCACTCCTCACCCTTAGCTCCGGGTCCAGCGTCGCGAGCTCCGCCTGGTTGCGCAGCCTCCGTTCCTCCATCTCTTTCTTGACCACCGCATGGTGATCGTCCACCGCAGCATCCCGCGCGCTCTGCATGTACCCTTTCTTTGGACGCCCGCTTGGGCCCTTCTCGTTCTCCCCCCCCTCTTCTTCCTCCTCTTCCTCCCCCCCTTCGAGACCAGAATACTTCGCATCAAACTTCGCCCTCAAAGCCAGCTTCTTCAGGCGGCGCTCCTCCGCTTCGGGATCCGCGTTCTCAGCCGCCTCCGCTCCGGCGACCTTTTCCCCCGTCTCCAAGTCTTCGAAGTCGCCGAAAACTTCCTCGTCCGAGGCCTCGTTCTCTTCGTCGCCCTCGTTTTCCTCATCGCTGACGTCACCCTTCCGTCGCTTCTCCGCCTTCTCCCAGTCCCCCGTCACGAACCGGTCCCGCAGGCCCTCCAATACCTCCGGGTCCTCGTATTCCGCTAGCGCTCCGGATTCCAGCGGAAGCCGGGCGGAATCCTCCGCGTCCAGCTCCTCCATATCGTCCCCCCCTTTCCCGGGGGCCTTTTGCGCCCCCCTCCTCTTCGGCCGGAAGAAGTTCTCCTCGTCCGAACTCTCGCTCTCCTCCCCGCCCCTGGGTTCCGCCCCCCGCGAGCGCCCATAGACCAGCTCCATCAAATTGACCTTCTTCGAGAAGGCTGACGTCATCTTCGCGAACAGCCCCTCCTTCCACTGCGCCGCGCCACCGCTCGTGCCCTCCATCCGATCCTCGCTGTCTTCGTCCGATCCTTCTGACGGCCCCGCCCTTTCAACTTCCGCCGACCGCAGAAGCGCAGACGGCCCTCCCGGCGGGGAGAGCGGGAGCACCAAGGTTTTCTGCCCCTGTTTCCGGATACCGTTCCCTTTCACTTCCGGCTTAGCACTTTCAGGCGCCTCTTTCCGTCCTCCCTGCCCATCTTCTTCGCTTTCAGACCCTTCGCCCTCGCTTTCCAGCTCTTCTTCATCAGAACCTTCCCTTTCAGAAACCCCCTCTTTCTCCTCCAAGTCTGCCCCTTCTTCACTGTCACTTTCCTCTTCCGGAGACCCACCACCCACGTCACCCGCCACGTCACCATCCGACTCGTCTTCAGACTCATCAATTTCATCCGACGCTTCACCTGCTCCCACACTCCCGTTACTTTCACTTCCTCGCACATGCCTCCCTCCCTGGAACCCCTCCATCTCCTCATCGGACTCCTCCGACTCTTCTGACTCTTCCAACCCGTTCTCGTCCCCTGCCGTTCCCGCCACGTCATCAAAGACCGCCCGCCTGCGCACCCGGCCCCCGACCTCCTCCTTCCGCTCCTTGGGAGCCGCCCTCTTGACCCCATTCACACCGTTCCCATTCACACTCGTCGCCCCCACCCCAAGAACCGCCCGCTTTGACGGCCCTGCTTCCTCCATCTCGTCGTCCGAACCAGACGCTTCCTCGTCCGAACTGCCCTCTCCACCGTCCGAATCCTCTCCCGCCCCGGCCGAACGCCTCCTTCCAGCGTCCGTGTCCTCCTTTCCAGCGGCCAACCCGCGCAAATCGGCGTCCGAATCGCCCTCGCTGCCGTTTATATCCTCGCCCCCATCGTCCGACGCCCCCTGCTCATCGTCCGAATCGTCGGACGCGTCTTCTAGGTCCAGGTCTTGACTGTCGAGCCGCACGGCCTGCCCCCCCCTTAGCAGCGTTATCTCCCCCTGCTCTAGTTTCTCGTCGATGGTGTGCTTGGTGCCCTGCAGACTGCGGACCATCGCGCCGCCTGGGTCCCTCTCCGCGATTTCTGGAGAACAAAGACGAAGGAAAGAGGTTGTCAACACAAGGCGTAGGACCACAAAGCTCCATAAATCTCGTCAGACAGCTTAATGAGCCAATAACGGGTCGGTTCGAGTGGCTTGGGTTGGCTTGGAAGGAAACAAAAATGGCCGCGACTTTTAGATTGTACATTCCATGCACCCGTAATCTGGAGGAATGAAGATCAAGAATTTGTTCCGAACATTCGAACGTCCTTTGTTGGCCAACAATCGTGACCCTAGCTTGTCGAAGTCAGAGAACTTCCAGATACACTTATGCAACAATGCAAGCAGTTCACAGAATCTCGCAGTGTGCCTCGGGAGTGTCACCTCGGCCCCCAATGAAAGCTTTGCACTCCAGCACACGGATCGGCTCCATCAGGGGCGCAAGGCAAACTCACTGTTGCCATCGGATCATAGGCGTGCGACGAGGAACATGTTGCACCCGGCAGACGAGATGGCCAAGGCTTAACAGAGAGTGTTTCCAGATAATATGGACTTGAAATATCGATCAACTGAAACAAGGTTCTGGCACCCGAGCTTTACTGCTGTCAAGGACGATGTCAGCAATCCCTTGCGGTCATACAGGCCCCAAAGCCGCAATCAACTACAGTGAAACAGTTGAGGCTGCCTCTACCAGTTTTCGCAAGCTTTTTGGTGCCATAATCAGCCTCTACTTACTTCACCCACTTATCGAAGACAAAGGACCCCAGCAAGCATAAGACCTCAGCGGCCAACAGACACACAAGAGCAGAAGCAGAAACCCAACGAGAACCAAGGCTTATCGACCAAATAACACAGCAAAGTCGAACTCAATCTCACCTTCAATCGCCTGTTCTTCGCCCTCCTCCCCGCCTTCCCCCTCCCCCTTCTTGGAGTACTGCACCTGGTGCTCCGGAATATTGATATACACCGCGTCCTTGTCGTACAGCATTTCGCCGACGTCAGCCATCGGCGCATACAGCAGTTTCTCCTTCTCGTTCAGCCCCCGCTTCTTGAGCGTCGACGGCAGCGGGCACGGGTCCGGCAGTGCGCTCACGCCCGCGAGCCGCTGGTCGCCCACGCCCGCAATGTGTACCTGCACCGCGAAATTTAGGGACTTAAGTTCTATAACTTTGGAGTGTTGAAACTTTGGGAGCACGGGTCCGGCAGCGCGCTTACGCCCGCGAGCCGCTAGTCGCCGGCGCCCGCAATTTGCACCTGCCGCGCAGAACAAGGTCGAATTTGATTCGCAAACTACGGAAACTCCAACTGAAGCGAGTGCCCGAACTGCTTCGGCTTGCCGCCTGCTTATTGCAAAAAACCAAAGCGTCCCTTGTTTTCACCCAGAAACTCGATGTCGCCGTCGAAACCTGTGTTAGATGTGGATCTCCGGTCGTCTCTCGGGTCATTAATTTGAGAATACAAGCTTTTTACTTGACGGAACGTCCAAGGCAAACAAAAGCACTTGCGAAGTCCCGCAATCCAAAGCCGTCGTCAATGCCCGGGTATCAGGTCTCTTACCTTCAGGTTGGGCTTCAAGTTCGCTCCTCTCAGGTACCCGTACAGCGTAACCGACCGGTCACACTTTGGGTTAGCCCTGATGGCCTCCGGATCCGTAACGTCCTCAAACCGGTCCGCAATTAGGTACGGGTGAGCGGAGCGCCACGTCAGCGGCCGAAACTTGGCCACCGAGATGAAGCGCGCCAGGTTTAGCGTCTCCCGCTTGGAGTACCTAAGGGATCAAATGGAGTGTTGATACAAGGCCTAGAGGCTTCGAATGAGCGTCTTGTCCAGTCTGAGCGTGATAGCCTGCTTAAGACGTCACACCGCTGAGAAAGTAAGTCTGGACCCGACAAGGACTAGGCACTATATGTTCGATGATCAAGATCGGGTCTGCGGAGCCCGAAAAGTAGAAGCCTTGCATACGTTTAACCCAATGCTTCATAGTGATGCGACTCGCCCTTCTCTGCTGATGGAAGCTGCGTACGATATATCATCAGGTCTGCCCGCAGAAAGCTTGATGTAATGGTCTGCATGCAGCCGAAAGCAACCCTCTGGTTCAAGCCTCGCATCAACCTGGAATGAACAATCTAATGACCTTTCTCCGTCCTCACGTTAGTGTGAAAAACGCCAAACTAGCTGCTCTTATGCAACTCCTACCTGCCGTGGACGAGCCCGCTGAGGTAGAAGAGCTTGGCCCCGTCGTAGATCTCGGTCCAGAAGCGCTGCTTGAGCCGCTTCTTGGTCTTGCGTAGCCGCTTCGGGTCCTTGAAGTGGTCCAGGTGCGTCAGAACGCCCATCACCTTGGGGAAACCGTGAACCTGCAGCAGAAAGTTCGGAGTGTTAAACACGTCCCAGGGGCAAATTTAAACACCTCCGCTTGACTTTTATTTTCTGGGGTTGCACCAAAGGAAAAAATGCCCGTCCCAATACTTGAAAGTGCTCATGCGGAGAGCTCCCCAAGCGAACTGTGCCATAACGGAAATCCGGGCTGCTCGTGTCCCTGTCTTTGGCGTCAGAAGACCGTTGACATTTCTAAGGGTCCCCCTCAAAGTCTGCTCGATCATCGCCAAGGTGGCATCGTTCAATCACGCTTCGAGTGATAAAATTCCAGAGGAAGTCAGGACTGCCCTGGCAGAGATTCAAGGAAGGCACTGAGATCAGGAGACCGTTCATAGGCAAGTCCCTTATTCGTCAATTTGTAAGATTCCAGAATTCTTGTACGGTCTTCGAACTAGCACTACCAGCATAACCCGGTTGTAGAACCTACTGCATGAGGCAGGCGACCAGGAGGCAGTATGTGACTAGGCCTCTTTTGAGGATACAGAGAAGCCACGTTCCAAAGACATTCGGTGTAATGCGTCACAAAGGGGCGCAGCCATGAAAGGCACGTCCTTCATCCTTCTTCGACTAGGTGGCTTCACGTTGGTAAGCGCCTGAATGGGTTTCATGTAAAACCCAGCGTTGCCTTCGATCACAGCCACCAGAACCAAAGCCTTAACCCGAAGTGAGTGCGTCCCGTCTGGGGAGGGAGTTGCAGGTGCACATCGAGAATTACAGCATCACTAAAAGCCCCTAGCAAGCAAGCATTACTGATGTACAGGTTGCTAATTTCGTAATTGTTGCCTGACCATTGGGTTACCCTCAGAGTTCCGCTGACGCATATGACTCCTTCCCAACTATTCAACCTCTAGGATGATTCGAATAATCTATCAGCAGGAAGTGAAAGACTAACAAGATTGTCAAAAGCCCGAGACCATCCGAATTTCAACTTGAAGCTTAGATCATGAATTTTAACCGACAGCAATAGACATTCCTGGTGGACCTCTGCACGTCATGCCAGATCGAAAAAGGCGCCTGATTACTGATCATGACCAACCAAGCAGATTGGCAATAGGCAGTCCCCATACCATCTGATGTCAGGGTAAGGAAAACAAGCATTTGTAACGTCATCACCATCTATGGTCGAACCCGGTGGCTCTGAATAGACAACAAGCAGTCCTGAGGATAGCCCTCGACGTATTTCCAATCATGGCCATCATGCTTTCTACGTCCACAACAAATTCTCGAGCTACTATAATGATAAGCGGCTGCTCAGAAACTGAGCTCAAGGGAGGCGATCGAACGACTCAACCCAATGCAAAACAAAAGACCGCCTGGCACAGAGTTTATAAGCGAAACCTGGATTTAACCCTCCAGTGTTTCCAAAAATGCTCTAGATGCAGCCATGACCGTCCGAACCATCTTGAGACAGCCAAAGCCTGATACATATCCAACTATTACGCAGGTGTCAGCAAAGCGGCTGTGGGGGCAGGCTTTCACACAGGAGCTGACGCAAAAGCGGTTCACAAACTACAAATCAGCTCACAACATCTTGGCACTCCTCTGAACGAACAGCCTCAACAAAACTCTCGTCATGGCTGTCCGCACCAGAGAGGGTGAGATCGTCCCGAAGCCCTCGCACAAATATACCTTGCGAATTTGATAAGGGCCAAAGCTGGCGAGCTTGTGAAAGGACCGCTTCGTTTCATCATTTCAACAAAGACCAAACACTCGGAGAATCGTTGGAAAGGCCTCAGAATCATAAGCAAGTCCTTTCGGATACAGAAGCCGAATAAGCCCCCAGAAATATGAAACTAAAGCCTCACTGTTTGTCATCACGCCTGTCTTGTGCGGCTTGATTGCCACTTGTGCGGATTGAAATCCATCTAAGGAGGTTCAAACTCAAGAGACTGCTTGCCTTGTTGAGTAAGCAGCGGTGGCCCCGAACAGTTGTAAGAAGCCGCGAATTCGAACAAGGAAAGGGGGTTTGAAGAGCACCCCGGGGCTCAGCATCACCCAACATCAGCAAGAGTAGACAATATGTGATCTCACATCCTTTCGAAAGCAAAATTGATACTTATACGCTTGGACTGTGAACTTCGACGTACTTTTTCTGATTCTGTCGTCAGGAAACGGCTTCAAAGGCACACCCGAAAAGCAGCGGTGAGCAAAGAGTCTCACACTGCACCTCATCAAAGCCACGTAGAAACGACAGTGTCTTGTTGAAGAAACTCATGCAGGAAAGAAAAGGGGGCTACCCTTCTTCTTCGACAAAGACCTACCTAAAATCCTGCGATAACCTTAAAATCCTGCGATAACCTCAAACAGGTGGGCAAGCCGGAGCCCGGAACGAGCTGACGATAACTGGTAAAAGTGTGAAAGATTCGTGCCTTTTTAAAGTCCTGGACAGGGTGTCTGGTATGGATCTTGTCTACGACGGGAGTGCCGCAAATTGTTGCTTACTTTCCAAATCGTACGGATTCCTTGCAAGCGGTCCGAGTTGCATTACACATTGAACACTTTCCTTGATCCCGCTGTTGGCTTTCTATCCGTTGACCTGATCCGAGATACTTGGGCAAGGAGCATTGCCAGATAAGAGGGCCAGATCAGTCACGTGGCTAACGCCTCCATATCAAACAGGCTTTCTCAAAGACTGGACTATCAGCTTCCGATCTTGGGCTCAACTCCAATCTTGGAAAGCGAGCCGGTTGGGAGAATGTTGTGAAGAGCCAGTCTTTGCTCTGAAGCCAGCAAACGGATTCACTGCAAGGGCAGTGAATGGTCCTGAAATCTAAACTAACAGGTAGCCCAAGGCAAAGACTGACTTGTTAAAAAGATCAAGGCACCGCTAAAGGAAGGAAAATCTGGAGTACGAACCAAGGTGGCTTGCTTAGCTTCCAAAAAGACATCCGCCTCGGCTCGACCTTCTTCAGCGACTCCGCATGACAAGGTAGAGCTGGGTTCAGCATACGCTGCCCATGCACGCCAAACTATCATAGTCGCATCGGCAGGATCGCAACAAGGAACCACGCGAAAATTCATGCACCGAACTTGCCTGTACGACCAGGCAAATGACCCAATACTAGTGCGACTGAACCCTTTACCCTCCACCTTGCCCACAAATCTCAGGGCAATCGCGGCATGAACTGGCTGACGAGTTTCAAGAACTTCTGACACGATAAGACCCATAGAACTCACTATGATTTAAAAAGGGGAAATAATCGGGGTAGAGAAACACCTTCCAATATGACGAAGATTAGATCCAAGCAGACCTTGCAAGAGAAAAAGGGCAGCCCGCTGCCGACCCTTACCTGCAGAATGTTGAGGAACTCGAATGTCTCCATCTCGAACCCGTACCCCCCGTCAATCAGGAGCAGCACCAGGTCTGCAAACTTGGCGGCGTCGATCATGGCGTTCAGGTCATTCTCGCACTCGATGAACTGCAGCCGCCGGTGTTTCCCTGCAGACATCCAGATATTCTTTGAGGACGAAACGTTCTTGTCGGTTTTCGGCTGAGTTTTGGGATTGGTGGTTCAGAGCCCGGAAGCTAGCCCCTGCCAACCTCATGAAGAGCGTGCAGTTATTTGCTTCAGGAACTCGACGACTCGTCTTGCAGAGTAGGGCAGGCACGTGAAACCGCCAGCCTAAAAGCTTCGCCCCTGCCACTGCTCTCTGGACTGTCAGAGCGCGGACAAGGAGAATAAGTCTTCGCACAATCGGAACCGGGGACACTGTTGGCCGGAGTCGAGTCTGGCGCGACGGCAGTGATCCCAGCCCTCGATGCTTCCCTAGACTCAAATCTGACGGCCTCTAAGTTCTGCCTCGGAAACCACGTCTGAGGCACAACCTGTGCAGGTTCTACCCAGAATGTCATCTGGACCGTCCGATTGGGTTTCTTTAAACATCTGACGGATAGAACAAGCGGAAACCTCAGCGACCCCACCTTTCCAACAGCGTCCCCGGTTCCGATTGTGCGAAGACTTATTCTCCTTGTCCGGCGCTCTCTCAACAATTTTGTCAAGTTCCAACAAAGGACGTTTGCGATAGCAGTGGGACAATCAGCAGGCCAAACAAGAGAAACCAAAACTTCATACACTAGCGTTCAAAGACACTAACAAAGAGCGATTCGTCTCCTAGCACTTCCCCCTCGATTACGCCCAGATCTTAGAGAAACTGGAGCACCTTCCCACCTGAAACTACTGTGATTGGCCCCTTGACGTCCGACAGGTTCATCTTCGTGTAATGCTTGATAAGCGACTGGATGACCGTCGTCTTTCCCACTTTGGGGGGGCCTTGAACCACCACTACAAAAGGGGGCGGCTCCTCAGGGGTCCTGTCAACGACGGGGGCATGGAGGCTCCGCTGCTCTTTTTCTGCGGTGCGAGCCTGGCTGGCCCGCGCCCTTCGAGCGGACCGATAGGTGAACGCCTGAAAAGACGAGGATGCGACTCTGGTTGAGGGACAAAATGGTGCAGACAAGAACCATTTTAGTAGACGTTTTTGTTTCAGCGCTGTCAGTGACAACTTTCTGGCGCCAATGTGAGTGTGAGGCACAAATGTTGATTTGGAAGCGGACATGAAATCATACACACCTCCACTGGAAAGTGAGAGCTAGTTACTAGGAAGGAGGGTTTGTCAGAAGCAAGAGGAGAAACAACAAACGGACTGGTGTCCGAGCCCCTCATAGTTTTATCCGGAATATCATGCACGGTGAAGTCAAGCAATCACCTGATAAGATTCTGCCTAACTGGGCCCCATCTCAAGTTTTCGAAGGGACCAAAGCAAAACACTTCGGTTGCCCCCTTCAGTCTCTGACGTTGAAATATCTGACTTAGAACTTGGAAAGTGTATTGAGAAAGTGTGGCGTCAACATGGCCTCCGTGTAACGTCGACAGGGCCTCCGCAATAATGCTCCAAGCCTTCAAAAACACAGAAATGGACGTGCACTCTCGATTCAAACAAAAGTTCAGCGGTGATTTTTGCACAGAAGTCAACAAGAAACTGCTCAAGTCTACTGGGAATTTCACACCACCATTACCATCATGATAAGCTTCCCACCAATTGGGAGGGCAGACAATGCTTACAATCATCGAAACTAAAGGCCTCGAGAAGGAACTTTCGTTAGCTGCTTCCGAGGATATTGAAGTCAAGAGTTCAGATATGCTCACGGTGGCAGAAAGTAGATAACAAAGTCTCAAACGTTCGGCAGTGTGACAAACTTTCCGCCTAGCGTAAACTTGCTTTGTTCGAGCATCATGATCCACAAAACGTACACAATGAAGCTGATCTCTGCCCCAATTATTTTTGCGTTGTCTTGATAACACTTCACTCGGAATGCATATGATCACTTCCAACCTCGCCTCACCTTTGGATTTTCCCTGTCTGTCGACAGACCCCTCTTCTTCTTGTCTTGCAACTTTTTCTTCTCAGCAGAGGGGCCAGCCAGCTTGCCCCGATGCGCCTTCTTCTTATCCTCTGCCGATGCCCCCTGCATCGTAGACTGCATCTGAGCCCCCGCCCGGCCCCCCGGAATCTTTTCTCGGGGTGCCATTGCTGCCCCTCAGCAGGCTAGCCTTTTGCAGCTGAGAATGCAACGCTGCCAAAGTGCAAGGTCACAACTCCTCCATGGGGCGCCTTTTCTCTTTACTTCCCCTCTCTCTTCCCCTCTGCAACTTGTTGGTCAATACACCAATGGCAAGATACACTGTTGTACAAAAGGAGTTTTCAAGCTTGAGGAAGATGGTTGGTTAAAAGAAGGTTACCCCAACGGTTTCCTCGGCGGCAGCCGGCTTTGAGCGGCACTCGGCTAGAATGAGCATTTCCGTGACCGTTACCAGAAGCTTTAGCAAACCCTGATTCCTACATACGTCTGTTGCTTAACCATCTTCCTGGACAAGAAAGGAAAGTTGCTGAACTCTGCACAGCTCAGAACGCACTCTGCTACTACTAGACTTTGGTCGTGGTGGCGCGCAGACAAGGAGGGTGCATGTTACGGAAGACACATTTGGAAGGTTGGAACAGGGGAAGCAAAGTTGGTAGGGGCACGACAAGGAAGCAGTCCCAATGGAATCCGTTGCGCAGTTGCTCAATGGCCCCTCGTGCAGCAGAGTTATTGCAACGTTTGAAACCAACAGCTATACAAATGTCCCCTCGTTGGGAGGCACATCTACTTCTGGTTACTGCCACCCCTCCCATCAGAGCCCGCACTTTCCACACCTCCCTAAATTTCAGCACTCCTTTCACCTTCCCACTTTCCAGCCTCAGTGCCATTCGAGCTCAACTCCCTGTTTCTGGAATCACAGATTACCCCGTTCAAATGCGCTTGGTAAAGCCACTCCTCGACAGCATGCTTCCGCGTCTCCCCTCGCATCATCTCTTACCACTCCCCTTGTCTCTGCTGGCCAATCAGGTATCTTTGGCAAAAGTCTAGAACATTTACAATGTCTGCAAAGACAAAGTAGAGGACAGACAAGGCGAGGAGGCGCTCTATTGACGACCAGTGCAATGCAGATGACACGCTTGAAACCGCCAGAGGAGATGGCGGCGCCACCAGGACAGAAGCAGTTGGGGTATCCGCAGCACGTCAAGTTTGCAATTGACGAGATTTGCGAGCTGGCGCCGCGCGCGTCGCTGGCGAAAGCAATGGGAAACATTCAGGTGCGTGGTTATCTGCTGGTGTTTGCTGGTACCTGCCGTATGACATATAAGATACAGTCAGATCGACTACATTTCTTCTGTGAAGCTCGGAAAGAAAAATGGATGTGTGCATTGCGAAGGTGTACCATCATCTCAATTCAAGGGTGGCGCCTTCGTTCGGAATCTAGTTATGACAAGACCTGAGAACTTTATTTAACCACCATCGTCTGGAAGCGGGCCATCATAGAGACAAACATCCATGAGGTCTATTCTTTCCTCCTTGTTTCCTTCCGCAGACAGGTTGTGAGTTTTTGACATGACTTATTTGATGGCCCCAGATTCTATACAGAGGTAACAGACTACACCTGCCTTACATAGATTCGTACAGTGTATCTTGGGGAAGAAGTTTCTTCCTTGCACCACCGGTGGGCAGCTTACGGTTTAAGCCTTACAAAGTTATTTGCCAGTTACCCACACCTCCCATTACTGACAATCACCATCGTAGTTTTGGTTGAAGTCGCAAGTATGCAAGTTTTTACAGAGAGAGCCAGTCTGAACAGACAAGAGAGGACATGCATAGGACGGAGAAAATTGCTTACGCATCGTTCCTGCAACTGAAGAAGTCCCCCAGCAGCTTGTTCAAAGGATTGATTGCTTGTGCAGTCGAGGTTGGCCCCAATTAATGCGACCAGAACACAATTCTCGTCCAAACGAAGTTGTCTCCCAGCGCCTGACAACATGTCTTTTCGAGAAGATGCACATTCCATTCCCCCAGGTCCCAATATCTTTAAATTGAAGAGCCAGGTGACCCGTTTTCCAAGCAGATTTCTCAAAAGTCGATATAGCCTCCAACTTTAATCTCTGCTCCTGCAGACGAACAGTTCATTAGCGACTGGCTGTGTGTGTTCAAGGAGCTGCAACGTCCATCCTCCGGCTGCCAAAATGAGATTGGAAAGTACTTCGACTTCGTCAATTTGATTTGTAATTATGTTACTTCAGTCTTCTCCAATGTGTTTTTTTACTTTTGCAGACGAAGCTGTCCCCCGGCGACTGGCAGTACGTGTTCAAAGAGCTCCAGCAGCGACGCGATTGGCAGCGCGCCTCGCGCGTCTTCAAGTACATGCAGCGCCAGCCAATTAACCAGCCAACGGAGCACCTCTACACCCTCATGATGTCCATTTTCGGGCGCGAGGGCATGCTAGACAAGGTGGGAACCTGTTTCTTTGTTCAATCTCTAATTTTCTGTGCTTCAGCCCCTGGCACAGGGTTCTCTTTCGTGAAAGGAATCTTTAACGAGTATATTGAAGCCTGAAGCGTAACATCCCACATACGTAGTAAGCTCAAACGGCTTTCGCGAAAGTGGAGCATCTACTCGTGGGACTGTCGAGACAGCGGAAGACGTTAGCTGGCAAGTTTTGAGGAGCTTCGGCGCTGGTCTGAAGAGGCTGATTTTGCAAGTGTTATCCGGACTGAGCCTGCCGAAAAGACAGGGGCTTTGGTGACCAACTCCTCGAACCTCCTTGATTGCCGCAGGCCCAGGAGGTGTTTGACGAGATGCCGCGGTACGGCGTCCCGCGCAACGTGTACTCGTACACGGCGCTGATCAACGCGTACGGCAAGAACGCGCAGTACCCACGCAGCCTGGAGCTGCTGGCCGACATGAAGCGCGCGCGCATCATGCCCAACGTCGTCACGTACAACACCATCATCAACGCCTGCGCCAAGGTCAGCTTTTTACTTATTGAGCTTGTATCTTGGGGAGCACAGATTTATCTCCGCCCACAACACCATCATCGACGCATCCGCCAAGGTCAGCTTTTCGCAATTGGAATCTCGAGAAATGCGGATTTTATTCAGTGGGGAGAGGAGGTCGATAGGAGGTCGGTTTTGCACATTTAAGGCGGGCATGCGGTGCCTCGACTGCTGATATCTTTGCAATTTCTGCAAGAAAGGTCGAGATTTTTAAGGTTCCTGTCGGCAACCAGAAGTCGCTTTGGTGGGCGCGTCGAGCAGTGGAAAACCTTCTGGCCCGCATGATATGACCCCTCGCTTCGTTTCAAATGGCTGTGACAAGTATTCGCAAAAGCTGAGATGTTCAATGGTCCAGAATTATGCCCTGGACATATTTGGCCGATTTGGCACTTCAAGACTGTACAACGGTCCAACGACGTTCTCTACATAGAATTCCATACGCTTCTCGCTTCTTGGCTTCTCCAACGCGGGGGGGTAAAAATTGGGAGGGCCTGCTAGACCTCTTTGGCCAAATGCGGCACAGTCGACTATTATCAGTAAGTCCAGACATGTACTCTGGATGGAAAAGAATTACTGAGTCCAAGTGAGGTCTCTTGCAGGGGGGCTACGAGTGGGAGGGCCTTCTGGACCTGTTTGGCCAGATGCGCCACGAGGGCATCCAGCCGGACTTGATTACTTACAACACGCTGATCGCGGCGTGCGCTGACCGGGGGCTGCTGGAGCAAGCGGGGATGATCTTCAAGGTCATGATTGAAGCAGGGTGAGCAGCGCTTTTGGTCAATGGTAGATTCGATATGAGCTACACTCTCGAGTAGACGTTGTTCCGCTTTTTGATACCAGGTCGCGTGTTTTTCGAACTTGGTCAGGCCCAATGCTACAAAAAGACATCCTTCAGAAGCTCGTAGGCTTCTTTCAGTCAGTCAATTCTTATGCCCGCTATCTAAGCGCCTTCAACCCTTCTTTGAACCTGGAACAGGTGAGTCCCCGACACCTTGACGTACACATCGCTGATGGCTGCATTTCCATCCGAGGAGCGGTTAACTTACATGGTGGACCTTCTTTCCTTAACCACAATGGGCATTGTTCTAACCCCGTCCTGACGCACCCTTAACCCTGCTCTTGATTCGCGACAGGTGCATCCCCGACACTTAGGGCTCCACATTGTTATTGGCTGCATTCTCCCCCACGAGCTGTTAAGTACATGGCGGACCCTTCGTTTCAGAATGGACCTTGTTTTATTTCCGTCCTAACGTACACCTAACCTTGCTCTAAACCTTCTCAACAGGTGCATCCCTGACACGTAACCTACACGTCGCTGATGGCTGCGTTCTTACGCTCCGAGGAGCGTTACAATACAGATGGCGGACCTTCATTTTCAACTCGTGTGGACCTTGTCGTAACCCCCTGTTAACGCACCTCTAACCCCTGCTCTTAACCGTCGACAGGTGCATACCCGACACGCTAACCTACACGTCCCTGATGGCCGCCTTCTCTTCTGAGGAGCGGTATAACGACATGGCGGACCTGCTCTTCTGGATGGAGGACGTGGGCACCCTCCCTGACGTCACTGCTTACAACATCCTCATCAACGCTTACGGCAAGGTGAGGACACGGCTTTGATCTTCCACTGCTCGTTTCTACCACCAAGCCCAGTGTCGGAGAGTTTCAGAAAGGGCGTAAGTGGGACTCGGTTGAGGTATGTGTGACATCCCTTTAAGATCATGTATTCATTGCCTGTCTCAACGCCTTGTGGGCTGCTTTCGCCCGTGACACGAGATTGCATCTCATACTTCTTTTGGCTGCTAACGATGCGGGCACTTCACCTTATCGAGAGCAGATTTGAGTAAGCTTTCCTTCCTCAGGCCGGCCAGAAGTGCGAGGCGGTGGCGACGTTCAAAGGCATGAAGCGCGCGGGCGGAATAATGAATAATAATTCGAAAAATAAGCTACTGAATCCTCAAGGCGCTTCGCTCGTAAGTGCGTTAAGCGCTTGGCATACATTCTAACTGCTTTCAATCTGACGGTTGAACTTTTCATCTCACAGGCCGGCCAGTTCCGTGAGGCGTCGGCGGCGTTTAAGCGCACGAAGCACGGTGGCGTGATGACGATTGAACGACTTTAAGCACTTTGCTTCTGACTGATCTTCAGCTTCGCATTCAAATACTATTGGATCTGACGGTTGAAACGTTCATCTCACAGGCCGGCCAGTTCCGTGAGGCGTCGGCGACATTCAAGCGCATGAAGCGCGCCGGTGTGTCGCCGACTGTCGTCACGTACTCCACGCTTTTGGACGCTTTGGGCAAGTACGGACAGTACGAGAGTGTCCGAGAGATCTTCCGGGAGATGGTGGCGTCCGAATGCGCGCCGAACGTGGTGACGTTTAACACGATGATCGACGCATTTGGGCGGGGGGGGCACTACAAGGAGGCGGTGGATCTGTTTGAGAGCATGGAGGAGACGGGAGTGGAGGCGGACCACATCACATACAAGTGAGCGCTTTATATTCGATCCGTTACACCATTTGAGGGTTTTGAATCTTGAGAATGGGCAATCTCATAACTTGATCATCAAGTTTGTGCTTGAAGTTTTGGAGAGTGAAACATGTGAATGAGGCACTGAATTTGTTCGGCAGCTGTCGGGGGAGAAGGGGTAAAAGCCGAGATCACATTGCCTCCCTAAGTAAGCCCCCTCTAAGCATATCCAAGTTTCTGGAACCCTGGAAAGTTTGTTATCGATGTAAGAGTGGCAAGCGGCCGGTCTTGAAAGAGTCGTCCGACTTCCAACCCTAGCCTCGAAAGTCCTAAAGCTTCGTCGGGCGGACAATTTCTAAGGTCTTCTGGTGTTGGCATATGCCGCCTCCCAGGGGCCTGCTGGGCTTGCGGGATGGGCGGCTCACGAGAGAGGCGGCGAACGTGGAGCAAGCGCTCGGTTCAACAATCGAGGTCTCCTTGCTTCCAATCCTAATCTTCAAAGTATCACAACTGCTGAAGATCTACTGACTTTTGACTTCTGTCATTCTAGCAGGGTTCTGTTGGCGGCTTGCGGGAATGGCTGGGCGGGTTCGCGAGAGGTGCGGCAAAGCCTTTGCTCTGCACCTTCCGACTCTCTACCCCAAATCATCAGTAAGAACATGTCATCAGCGCCAATGTCATCGGCGCAATTTGCTAAAGGTCTGCTGACTCTATATTCCCAGGATTTGTTGGCGGCCTGCGGAATGGGCGGGCTAGCGAGAGACGCGGCGAAGCTGGAGCAAGCGCTCACTTTACTAAGTTTCCTCTCGCTGCCACTCCAAACCCCAAAAGCGTACTACTGCTGAAGGTCTACTCACTGTCAGGGTTTGTCACTTCCCAGGGGTTTGTTGGCGGCCTGTGGCATGGGTGGGCTAGCGGTCGAAGCCTTTACTTTCTCAAATTCTACTCTAACTCTGAAAGTTCTTGAGTTTATTGAGTGCAGACCGCTAAAGCGCTAAAGGTGTACTGACCTTGACTTCCCAGGGGTTTGTTGGCGGCCTGCGGGATGGGCGGGCTAGCGCGAGATGCGGCGAAGCTGGAGCGGCACATTCGGCGGCGCGGTTTCCCTGCGACGGTGGACATGTACAACAGCATGATCGAGGCCTACTCGAAAGCGGCCCTGTACGAGGAGGCGCTCAGCGTGCTGGACGGGATGACGGAGTCCAAGGTCGAGCCGGACGAGGTGAGAATTACACTCTTTCCAGTAGGTTCATGTTTTCTGAGGTTGTTTCCAACTTCTCTGTTTTGAATGTCAAGAAGCCTTTTGAGATTTGCGTTGACGTGACGGAGTCCAAGGTCGAGCCGGATGAGGTGAGGGTGACACTTTTTCGGTTCTCTATCTTGAAATGGTTTCCAAGTTCTTTGATTTGATGTTTGAAAGTTTTTTGGGTTTTGCGTTGGCGTGGTGGACGGGATGACGGAGTCCAGAGTCGAGCCGGACGCGGTGTGTTTAACTTAGCGAGATTTCTGCTTCAAAAGTCTGAGTGCTTCTTGAGAATTGCGTCAACAAGCGCGAGCTGACTCGGCGCGGTTCTGCATAGTCTGCTTGATTTTCTCAGGGTGTTGTCTCTTGGTGAGGGTTAGACCTGTCGAGGTGTCTGCTTCAGGGCTCTAAATTTCTTTGACAAACTCGAGCCATCCCGGTGCCGACTTGGATCATTCAATCGGGCTTCTTCGGCGTTTTCTTCTAGTATCGCTTCAACTGCTACTCGTTGTTGCTGGACAAATCCTGGCAAGTACTTCCGTCACCCTGAGACCTTTTCATCGTGAGAGTAGTTTTCAAGAGCAACTCAGAAACGAAATTGCCGTTTCTCCGCCACGGCAGGCGACCTACTCGTTGCTGCTGGGCATATTCGGCAAGATTCGCCCTCAACCTAAGAGTCTCTTCTTCCCCGGATATTTGATTTTACCCGAGTATTCAAGAAGTACGTCCACCTGAACAATCTATTTTTCTGTCCCGGCAGGCGACCTACTCGCTGTTGCTGGGCATGTTCGGCAAGGCCGGGCTGCACCGCGAGGCCGCAGAGATGTTCTGGAAGATGCACGACCGGGGCTTCCTACCGGGCGTCCCCACGTACAACGCGCTCATCGACGCATACGGCCGCGGCGGCTTATTAGAGGAGGCCGAGCACGTATACGAGGACATGCTCGAAGCCAAAAAGGCGCCCAGCCTAGGAACGTTCGCCGCGCTTTCGGCAGCAATTGCAGCAAAGGGCGACGGCGAAAGCGCGGGGGATTTGTATTCAGATATGGTGGAAGGGGGCTATAAGCCGGACGGGCCGCCGTTTTGTAACCTAATCGCCGCTTATGCGAAGATACGAGATGTGGATAACGTGGCGCGGTTATTGCGAGAGATGGCGGCGCCCCGGCAAAGCTTGGAGGTGTCGACGCTCGCGGGGTTGCTGGTGGGGCGGTACGACGACGATTACAGGTGGGAAACGCAGACAACCTACTACCGCAGATGCTCCTACTTTTTCGATGGCCAGTAAAGCTGGATGAAGATCTCACAAAAGCAACGTCTAGCGACTGTTGAACCGTGGAAAACAAGGATGGACAGAGGAGTGATAGAGGGCCCTTGAATTGGCATAAGGGGGTCCCAGTACCGGGAATGAGGTTGCTCTTATCCCAGCGCTGATCTCGAGTTGCCTTTCTCTTAACTAAGAGACCAGCAAGGTGGAAGCCGCAGTCACACTCTGAAGTCGAAAGGACAATGCGGCTGGCTTTCCAGCGAATCTGTCGTTGTTGCGGGCTTCTACTTTCAGTCAGCAGCAGAGGTTGAGCTTCATCGAAGAGGCCCACTTCGGTCGTGGTTTTGTCAAGAAAATACCTCCCAACAATACCTTCCTGTAAACCCTTTCAGCTCTGAAAGCGCAACACTCAGCGCTATCCGCACTTCGTGCCAGGTGGCAAGAGATAGAGTTCGTGCTCGAAGCCCAGCGGTTGAGCTCCCATTCGGCAGGCGCAATTTCGCCGGCTCTTGGAGTACAAATTATTTCCTCACACCGTGTTCAAGTTTGCATCCAAACATTTTGAAATCCATAAATGCTACACGTCTTGACAGGCGGCAAGAGATGGAGTTTCTGCTCGAAGGCCAGCGCGATTGGGGCCTGCAACGGTTGAGCTCCAATTGGATTGCCCCACCTAACTTGGTCTCTGACTACCGAACTTCTTGACACCACATGGTGACTTCAAGCGTCGAAACTCTGATTATTAAACTTCTTACGTCGTGCCAGGTGGCAAGAGGTCGAGTTCGTGCTCGAAGCCCAACGCGACCGGGGCCTGTCCGACAACATGGTCTTCTACAACGCGCTCCTAGACGCCCTTTGGGAACTGGGCCAACACGCGCGCGCCGTCAAAATAGTGCGGGCCGCTTTGGCCCGAGGGACGTTCCCCGAGGCAGTAAAGCGGTCGGACATGATCTGGGCGATCGACGTGCACCGAATGAGCGGCGGAGCTGCTCTCGCGCTGCTGTACAGCTGGCTGGGGGAGATGCGGGCTCTACGAAAGGTGCGGGGATTCAGTTTGCAAGCTTTTTGAAAGTAACTCGACGGAGACCCTTCAGTGATATACCTGTTTTCTTGATGCATCGTTCACACGGGCTTTGGAACTCCTTTCCCAAGAACCGGGAAATATGGTCAAAACCAACGTCTGTCAGCTTTAGAATTCATTGAAGCGCCCAGATCCTTTTGCCGATCCCGCAGACCTCTGAGGCTTTGAAGCCTGGTTTAAGCAAAGCCTGCAAATACTGTCTACATTCTGCAAGTCTGGCGCAGCCTGCGAGGAAGGTGCGGGCCAATGCCAACACTAAATGATTTCTAAGGCACTGCTCCTCTTCGTGTCCCAACTACAAGAACCCTTTAACAAGCGAAGGACTCTTGCAGTAGTCCACAGCTTGTTGACTGACCGATTTTGTCTTTCTGGTTCGCAGAAGCGCGTCAAAAAGGGAGAGGAGCCCCCCCCGGAGTCCCCAGGGATCCCCGATACCCTCAGCGTCGTGGCCTGGGTGGGCCTTTCGAAAGCGTCCCCGAGGGACGTTCCGGTCTACCAGGCAATAAACATTGCCCTAACGGAATTGGCCGGAAGCACCAGTAATTATCCGTTCCAGGTACGCTGCTTCGGCTGCTTCAACTTTTTCAAGATACAAGGATGTCCGGGTTGGATCCTCAATGTGAACCTGTGTAGTACGAGCTCTTAACCCTGTTGTTGGCTCCCGTGACTGTGCAAGCAGAAGTACGGAATCGTATTTGGACGATAACATCGGACCCATTGACTTGTGTACGTCCTGATCTGCCCGCATTCTTCTGCTCTTTTGCAAAGCGATTCCCCAGTTTCCTCCTCAAGCCGTCAGAACCGCAAAGATTGTCACTTTCAAAACGCCGAAAGAGATTACATGAGTTCGCGCGGTGTACTCCTTCTTACATGCCGCTCATCATCGGTCAGCCTCGGGACTGTGCTTTTACTCTCTACTTAACTTCGGATGAATGACGAGTCTTTTCAAATTCTGCAGCCCGCCCCCTGGTCCGAGGGCCGGTGGATAGCATCCGGGCCGTCGGCAAGCAAATGGCTAGCGGGGGTAAAGCTGGGCCGGAAACTAGAGCTAGACGACGCCCCCCTCCCGGAGCTTTTCGTAGACATCGTCGAGCGGGGAGCGCTGCGATAACGGCAACGGATTCCAGTCGTCCTTTCCGTAAGCAGGGGCGGCGTAAAGGTATTGAACGAGGATACAGGGGGTCGGGGAATTTCTCGCGCGGCGCTTGTTTTTGCTGTCGAAGCAATCTCTCTGAATTGCTTCCCGTAAAGAATCAAGCCTGGCCCCTGACGTTGTTGCCACAAGATCAAAGCTGCAAACCTGGAGGGATTCGAAGACGAGCCTGATCGCCCGAGAATGCAAGGAGTTTGCGAACATTTGGGCAGAATGCGTGCCGAATTGACTAAGTGATGCCAGTCATGAGCGACACAATTGCAGGTTGGCTGAATATGATCCTTCTGTTTCGCTTCGCAAGCACGAACAGGAACTGCAAGGCTGGAATCTGCAAAAACGAATTTACCTATTTTGATATGCGTTGTTTTAGGACCCTCCAAGGCGAGCGCAACGTGTTTTTATATGTGATATTGAGCGAAGGGCATGACGGTCACCCAGTGCTCGGGGTACCCTTAATTTCCGTACTATCATGCAACTCACGGCTCTTGCATCATAATCGAGACCGAAACGGGGAGTGCCAGATGGCTTTGTGCATGTGAGCGCGCCCCGGGAATATCAACAGAGATTGCACGAGCCTGTCGCCATGTAGTTCGCAAGCTGCGGCCAACCTCGAAGAACAAAGCATGTGTCAATCGCGATCTCATGTATACGCTTCGTGCCCGCGCGGCATGTGATCTCGAGATATCGTACTATTGCAACCGTCAGGCTGAAATCCATTTCGTCCGGCCCGGATTTGTTCCGATTTCACGGGCCATGCCAGCATGGAAGCGACTCAGTGCATAATCCTATGGCAGGCCGCAACCGCGGGGCGGACACGTGAGAACTTTTTAGACGTTTCGGGTGCATGGGCACAAGTGTAGAGCGCATGTCATGCATAATCTATACGGGTCTCAGTTTAGCTTTTTGTGCACATTCTTAGTCGTTGTACATGCCATGCGCTTGCAGTTGAGGTAGTCTCTTGATATCAAGAGGTATTTGCCCCGGCCGCGCTGGCCGCATTCAGTTGCATGCAGATGTTGCCTTAAAACGCGCAGCCTTAAAGACTTATGCGGGCCGGGCCGGCGGCCTGGCTGGTTGGCCACGGTCACATTCCCCTAGCGCATGGTGAGCACGCAATCGCTGATGAGCCTGTTGCATTACTTGAAGCGGCTTCTTTACAAAGGTTGGTTGCATGCTCTGGATACGTGACACAATGAGGAAACGCGCAGGTTTATGTGATCTAGCCTGAAAATGACCTTTCGAGTCTGGGGTAGCACGTGTCGACCTGATGGGTTAGAGGGACCCGTTAGCGGTAGAAGACTTCGACGCTATCACGATATCCACGTTTGAAACGGTGTCAAATAATATCTCGAGCCAATCCTTCGCACCCGCATGATGGTAAGCTGAGCTCCGAGAAGCGAGGTTGCCAATTTCTCTACTCTTTGACAAGGTTTTTCCGTCTGAAACGAAAACGCCCCGTTCTACCGATTGGTTGAATTGCCTCCTTCTCGATCTCTTGGCGAGTATCAACAACCCACATAACTTGACGCAGGAAGAAAGTCCTCGAGCACATAACCCTTCTTCATGAAGTAGTTAGCACGTTCATCTCTACATACCGTTTTACAGCCGTCCTCAAGCTCCTTGTTTTCTGCTCGACAGGGACAATGACACATACCAAGGAGGGTCTGACTAGCGACTTTCTCAATCTGCCGATAAAACGGCCACCCACCCGTAAAATGGTATATCTCCACCGTTACCTTCATTGCAGCTTCCATCCAATTCTGGATTGAAGAAGCAGATGGTTTTTGGAGGTGCCAGCACCGTTTACCGTCTCAGCGCATGCCTTCTCAATCTCAGCGACTGCAGGCAGTGCTTGCAGCGTAAAAGGCTGTACGTAGTTTATTCTTGGACACCCAACCTCTTCACAGTAACCTTGGCCTGAGCAGGAATGCCGCTTTATTTTCGAACTATTATACCTCACATTAGGGCCCCATGCCCACACACAGAGATCCCTCTGGTGACGATTACTCCTGACCACGATCAGAGAATCCATATAGTAAGAGTACACGTGCTCGATATCCTGCTCTTCTTTTGGAATACCCAGCCTTTCGGCTCTTCTTGTCTCCCAGCGACCGGTCACCAAACGTTTAAAGCCACCAAACCAAGCGGTTGCCTCTTCAAACCTCCTCGTTTCAGCGGTATATATATCCTGAGGTGGCTCTGCAACGCCATAGAAAGCTTGCTTCCAGATGGGAGAATCTTGAGGAGCAAAGAGCTGGATGGCCTTGCATGCGCATGTGGCTGCTACCAAGGACCGGGGATCTTGAACAGCCAGCTTGCTCACGATGAGTGCCAGAACATCATCGGGAAGCTCCGCTAGTCCTACACCACGGGAGCGCGAAGAGAGCGTCTGGCCTTTGTTCGTCTCCATTCCAATTTTCCAATTCAAGGAACTGACCTGCGACCTGACATCTCGAAAGACTCGCGTTTGTTCCCCAATTCTGTGTGATGCTGAGTCCTGGTTTATGGCTTTGTTCAGCAACTTCGGGTGCCTGGGTCCTGATCAAGGACTTACCTATCTGTGGCCTAAGGTGCTCAGAGACGCCACTGGGTGAGTCGGTGCTTACATTCGGTTAGCCTAACGGTTAGGGTATTCGGGTGCAGGGCACGTAGAAATCTGATCTGGGTTAGGGCTGGGTTACGGGGTTTTGTTTTCAAGTACGCGGGTACACACGCGGCCACGTGCACCGGCGAGGGTTTCGATTTCGGGAAGTTTAGGGCGCGTCCCCGCAACATGCGGCCGCCGCAGCTGATGGATTGTCTGATCAGAGATATGGATTTCTAAAGAGTAGGTAGTTAAAGCGCTTTCTTCTGACGTTTTGCCATAACAGTGCTTTACGGAAGGTCGCGGGGCCCCAATGGACGGAACTACTCTTAAGGCAATTACAGAGCGCTTGCAAAACCCTACGGAGTCGATGATTGACCAAGATCCCTATGCAACGCAACTCATTTGTTCTGAGAAAGTTCTATGTCCGGTCTTCCTTACTATAGCAAAGAGTGCAGGCGCAGAAGCGGTTGCTCAAGCCTGTTGCACTTGCAAAACGTTCCGAGATGTTGGCTCATCAAACGCTATCTGGAAATTTTGTACCAAGGCAAATTTGAAGGCTGGAAACACCGGGATTTTGTTCACCTTTGTGCTGAGCAAGATGGTAAGATATACAAACGAATGGTCACTGCAAAGCTGATGACTCTCCGTCGGGCGTACCGTAAGCAGATGCAGTCCATGTGGTTAACGTTGGAGCTTATTCACGCAAGAGTTGAGACCATCTTTCCTGATCGGAGGTAGATTGTAGGCTTTGGTGCCAAGGAGATCCTCGTGCACCTTCTACTTTCTACCCTGAGGTCCTTTTGCGTTCACTTGTACTAGTTATTGGCCTTGTTCACGGAAGCTAGGGCGCCAGCAGGAGGGAACTGGCACAGGCACAGGCACAGACATCACAAGGCAATCTGCTATCTTGATGTCTAGCTGGCTAGAAGTAAGTGAAGATTTGCAAGCGTTAGACGGTCCTTCCAAAATATCCGAGTCAGGATTTCTCGTCGTGCAGTGCATGAACCGTAACGCCAGAAACGCTATGACATCAGCTACGTCCCGCCTGGAGATCAGCCGGTGCAATCAGGTGCAATTTCTGCCGGGCGGCCTGGCCCGCGCCGGCAATAGCCATGCCCGGGCGCCGCCTTGGCCCAGGAGACCATGGATTGGGCATGCATGTGCATTTGTCATTTCACATCGAAGATGAATGAACATCTTTTGTACGAGGTCTCTGCGGATCCAGAGCTTCATTGATGTTCATGAATGTAGTATCTTTGCGAAGCGGCGCGCATCATAGTGTCATCATCTGGCACATCGCGGACACTTGGTCACTTGAAGTTGTATGATCCTCCCAAAACAATGATGGTATATCGCAGTGCAACGCCTTTCGGGGAACAGGGTCAGCATATATATAATGCCCGCCGTCAAATAGTGTGGGCCTCTTTGGCCCGGGAGAATTTCCCCGAGGCAGTGAAACGCCCGGAAATCTTATTGGCTTTTTGACGTGCACCGCATGAGCAGCGGGCCCGCCCTCGCAGCTGGATGCGGGAGATGGGGGTACTTCGACAGGTGAAGGAATTTTGTTTTCAAGATTTCGTAAGTAAACGGCTCAACTTTGAACCTTTCGATGGTACGCTTGGTTGTATATATAAAGCTCTCGTTCTGTAAGCGAAGGCATTAGCCAGCCTCTGTCATCTTCAAAAAGCTTCGAAGTGACCGAACCGTTTCAAATGTGGTTCCGTAGATTGAGAAGGCTTCGAAGCGTGAAGTCTCCAAGCCTGCAGGTGCTATCTAAACATCTGAAAGTCTGGCGCAGCGTGCGACAAAGGTGCGATGAGAATAAAGCAGTAGCTGTATCAAAATCTCTGGAGCGTTGCTCCTCGGAGTTGTGCCTGAACTCTCCGAGCTATCAGAACTGCATAAAATAGCTCACACACTGTTCACTCAGCAGAGTTGCGTTTCTGATCCGCAAAAGCGCGACAAAAGGCGAGAAGAGCCCCCCCTCGAGTCCCCAAGGATCCCTGACACGCTTTGCATTGTGGCGTGGGTGGAACTTTTGAAAGCGTCCCCAAGGGATTGTTCCAGTCGCGCGCATGAATTAAGCCTGCGGGGGCGACTTGGACGCTTCATCTCGATCCAATGCGAGCTTGCTTCCACTCAAAAGCGTGATGAATGAATGATAAATGAAAAACATCCCATGCACATCAATCAGTGCTTGCGCTAGCTAGTTGGATATGGAGACATGTAGATGTGTAGATGCAACAAAGCCAGATTAAAGTTGGCTGTTCGAGCCTGATAAAACCAGATCTCCCCTGAAAAGTGACAGGGACCTGTCTAGCCATTGCCATTTGATCACATGATCACAACCGGGGACGACATCGCTTCAGATCTCGTCCTGAACAAATCAAATCTTCTGTCCGTTCGAAGCGGGTCCGGCCTTCCTACCGGAACCACTGGGATGCCCCAATGCCCTGGTTCCAACCTCTCGCCAATTACCCATACCCGTATGATACCCTACGAACAAACTTTGAAAGTTTTTCAACAGACAACTCTTGGACTAGCTGATAGACTTCAAACCATTTTAGAACAGGTCTCCGAGCTCCTTATTTTCCTGCTCGACCGCAACAAAGCAGGCTCCCATGAGAAGGGTCTGGTAAGCGACGTTCTCAGCCCGCTGATAAAAAGGCGCGCCACCGCTAAAATCGTAAAATTCCACCGTTACCTTCATGGCCTCCATCCAGTCCAACATAGGAAAGTCAGACGGCTCCTTGGGAGGCCCAGACACGCTCACCATCTCAGAACATGCTCCGTCAATTTCATCCTCTGAAAGCAGAGTTTGTAACGTGTATGGCTCTACGAAAAATCCTGTGTGCCCTGAATCTGCTCCCGTAATTGCATAGCTTCTTCTATCTGCATAGAACCTCTCGTCAACCCCCCATCCCCACACGCACGGTCTTCCCCTCAAGGGTGTTCTGGCGACAAATAGAAAGCTTGTATACCGAGAGTACAGTTGGTTGCAGTCCTGCTCTTTCCTTGGAAGCCCCAGGTTTCCGGCTCTTCTTTCCTCCCAGCGACCGGTGACCAGACGCTTGAAGCCACCAAACCATGCAATTGCCTCCTTAAACTTTTTCGTCTGGAGAGTGTCCTCAGGTGGCTGTGAAACGCCGTAGAAAGCTTGCTTCCAAAATATAGAATCTTGAGGAGCGAGGAGCTGGATGGCCTTGCATGCGCATGTGGCTGCTACAAAGGACTGGGGATCCTGCACAGCCAGCGTACTGAGGACAAGTGTCAGAGCATCGTTTGGCAGCTGACCTAGTCCGACAAGCGAAGAGTGGTTGTGGCCTTTGTTCGCCTCCATCTCTTGCGAACCGAACGACTGCAAAAGAAAAAGAAAAGCGAGACCGGCCCTCCAAAATGATCCTACTTTTCGAAGCTAGTTTGTTCAGCTTGAAGCATGAATGGCCATGACGGCGGAATACTTTTTCGGGAGGTTTAGGGCGCGACCACGCGACAGGCGGCCGCCGCGCGCAGTCGAAGGACCAGACCTACTCCTAGGAGGTTCCCAGGAATCGTACGAAGATAGACAATAAGGGACGCGCCTAAAGCCTCCCTTATTAGACGCGTTTCCAGAATTCCCTACACAGCCCTTCACGGTTGCGCGCTTCAGTCGACAGAAGCGCTCCCATGGCAGCAGAACATGTTGTTTGTTCGGAGCAGGTCCTCTTCCCGGTCTTTCGAGCTCTAGCAAAGAGCGCAGGCGCCAAAGTAGTTGCTCGAGCCTGCTGCACCTGCACAGCGTTCCGAGATGTTGGCTCAGATAACGCTATCTGGAAAATTTTGTATCAAGTCAACTTTGACGATTGGAAAGACTGGGAGCTTCTCAGAGCTGAGAAAAATGGTGACTGCAAAGGGATCTTCACTGCAAAGTTGCTAAGTGAGTGTTGGCAATACTCCAGAAACACCTCGAAGCGAGTGGAGTCCAACAGGTTGAGAGTGGAGCTTCTACAAATGACATCTGATCTCCTAAAACTATGGGCTCACTGATTGGTTGACAAGTTCGTCAGACTGAGGACCCATGTTGAAAGAGCTGTCATGTTGATGGGTTCAAAACCCAAGCAAGCCAGCAGAAGAAGCAGAAACTTTTCATCTGCGTCATGTTGATCTAGACACGGACTCAGTTGAGCAATTGGGTAGACGTAACTCTGAAAGGAAGCTTATAATCTTTGGCGGGAGGTTTTGCGATCAACAGTGAAGTCTGGGTCCGGCTTGTAAGTTGTTGTACAGATTCAGCTACAGGAGTTTTGAGTCCGAACGTTTCTATTGTCTGATACATGCCATGAGCTGAGAAGAATCACACGTTATGATCTTACCTAAACCGGGCCGCTGACGGGTCCGCCTATGGTCCGGGCGGCAATATGTACCGTACCGCTCTAACGTACACTGCCACACCATGGCCGCCTCATGCAAGTACGTACGCATATCTATAACATTGTAGGGGCAAATTGTTGCATGCAGTACGCCTGCAGATACAACACATGGTATAAATTCGGTATATGACAATTTTGATAGATTTGCAGGTATCAATGATTGCAAAGCAGCGTGATATCGGCCAAATGTATATGATGTTGTGTCCAATCCCAACACTTGCAATCGCGGATCGACATGCGAAGGGATGATTCTTCACCAGACAGTGTTCTTCCATGGACGGAAAGTGCGTGAGCGCCTCGATTATACAGGCGGCCTTGTATAGTAGACTGCAGCGAGTGCAAGGCCAACTGCTTTAGGCAGCTGGATATGGCCTGCGGTCTCGGAATCCAAAATTCCTTCGGAACCCTATGAAATGGTGGCCGCCACATAGGCGGCTGGACATGCTTGCTAGGTGGATGCAGATAACAGGGACTCAAAAACCGTATACCAATGACAGAAAACCGGTGAATCCTTGCTGCAGCAGCTACAGCCGCTCGGCTTCGAGCATGTTACATGTCTGAAAAGTTTTCCAGATATTCAGCCCATGATCATAACCAGGTATATCGATCAACTCTATCTGAAGTCTCCATCTGGCTTCCGTGCTTGTTTCCACTGACCTTTACAATTCTTACATGAATCCCGCAGCTTCTTATGTTTCAATTCAAATAGCCTCCCAGCGATATTTATTGAAACGCCGACCTTTTTCTTTGGAAGTTACTTCAGACAATCGGAACGTAGGGACGTGTTCTTCAGCTCCGAAACTTCAATCATTACATACTCTCTACATAAAAAAGCAACCGAGTTGCTGAGTTGTACATACAAAGGCAACCGAGTTGCCCACATATACTGAGTCCGTCATCAAATAACACCAGTAAACGAGATAAGACTCAACTTTCTACCTTCTTCACGAGCCTACATTTGAGGACGTGTTTGTCTTGCTACTGTGATTACGGCCATTCATTCGAGGTCATCTGAATAGTGCTCGACTGCAATTGTACGTGGATCCACCGTTGGATGATGAAACAAAAGTTACTGTAGCCGCTGTGGCTGGGGTGGTACAACGACCGTCCGCCCATGCTGCCACCCGAGTGCGGGATCGAGGCCCCGTGTCCGCAGCTCCTTGTACTCTTGACAAAGGGCACATGGCACTGCAGAAAAGGCACCAACATTTCAGACCTGGCAGTCAAGGGTGCAAACAACAAACGGCGCTCGGCAGAAACGAAAGCCGGACGACCTTCGTTGCTCGCAAATTTCGGAACCGGAGGTCCTTTGAACACGAAGTAACTGGACGTGTCCGCTTCTTTGAAGCGCTCGCTGCAAAGGCTTACAGTGATCAAGTGACGAACCTTGAAAGTTACGTTGAGAGATCACTGTCCTCAGCACGATCCTAAAGTTTAAAGAGAAGTACTGAAAACAAAATAGCTGCGCCACATACAACGTACCAGGGAGTACGCTGGCGCATTCAGTATGATTCTGATTCAAAAAGAGGGCGCTGGCAGGACTCACAACAGCATCCGTGCACACAGCAATCCCAGCACGGCTCCTCCGGCAGGTGATACTTGGCACGCAGCCTCGACCGGTACTGTACACAAAATAGTCAGTAGGTCGATTGAGACAACAATACCAGGATTCTCTTTTTAGTCCACCCGTTCATCATTCACAATGTTGGACAAACGTTACACCAAATTCGTCAAACGGACACGTCACAGCCCTCAGATGATTTTTGGTGATTTGTGCGACCTTCAAGCAACCACTTTTACATTCTTGACAACGGCTTGATTGTAGAAACAGGAAGACCAACTTCAGCTTCCCTTCGTTGGAATCCTCTCGAGACAATTAGGGCCTGCTTACCATGCAGCTGTAGATGCACGCGCACCCAGTGACCTGTTGGAACAGATACCAAAACGCCGCCCCTAGGGGACATGGCGTCACGCCATTGTCAATGACCTCGATGTTCTGGCCGACCGTTATGCAGGGGCAGAAGCACGTCTGAAGGCAGAGCGGGATGTCGCTGAAGCAGTCAAAGAGGCCATGATGCCAGCCCTCCTCTGAACCTGAGGGAGCAAGATTGGGTGCATTAGTCAGCGAGCTCTGAGGAGTTGCTAATCAAGCAAATCCACCTCTGAAAACAGATTAGTGACACGCTTGATCCTGTGGCATGGAGACTCCTTGTGTCGCCCCTTCACGTTGGTCGTTAACCTCCAGCAGAAGATGGTTTGTCACCGAGGCCCCTTTACAGCCCTGTGGGGCAGCGCACCAGACCTCAAGCCTGATCCAAAATCCTGGATGCCCCAACAGAGAATATAAAGTACCTGAACAAGGTTATTGAAGCGAAACGTACTGCGGGTTTCAGAAAGCAAAGAAAGAGTTTGCTTAGCTCTGCCCGGCACAGCTTTTCCAGCTGCCGCACCGCGCAAGGCGTTGGCCGCAGCACAGAACCAACTATTGTAATTTGGCCAACTCAACTTAATGATCAACATCACTTCGTTCCAGCTAGATAACTCTGCAGCTCGAAATCAACAAGCCGAGCCCTTTTAGTGGTTGATTACTCAACGATAAACTGAGCGCATGCATCATAATGCAAAGAAGAACATTATGAATTAAAGTCAGAATCCATGGGTTGGCACAAAGCGGACTTGAGGAGCTGAAAATGAAGACCATTCAAAAATCAGCATCAACTTTGACCCTGATCTTCATACCGAGGCAAACCAAAACGTTGACAATACACCAAGATAATGCCAAGGATAGTGTAAACCGTAAAATCCATCTAGGATGTCAATTTGGTGCCCCGAAAGGGATCAAACTGGAAGCCACCAGCAGTTCTTGCAATCTTCAAAAGATCCTGATGTACAGTGTCATTTAACAAAACTCGCAGAGGCAGTCTTTCAGAATGTCCTTAAATCGCCACGGGCTCCGGAATCATGGCCTCAGCAACTCCTCTACAAGCCAGAAGCTGTAGAACCTCATGAAGAGCTTCAATTACGAACTCAGCTTTCACCTCTGTTAGTTTGCGGAGGTTGCTCGTTGTATCTGGCCCCTTTGTAAGTGTACTGGTCTTCAGCACTCTGAGAGGAAGGGCTCGAATCCCAAGGCCGCGCTGGGTATCCGGGCACTTTTCCCGCCCCTTGGAGCAGCGATACTTGCTCGGCCGCGCTGTCCTGGGACTCCGAACCTTTGGTGGCGCCCATCCTCTACCTTCGGAAAACGATGCTCGAGCAAGGAAAAGTCCTCTTATTGGCCCTTCTTTTGCCCTTTTATATGCTGCACAGTTTTGGCGATTGGAGGCGCTTCTGGGGGAAGCGATGGATGTGGCCCCTCATGGGCTCATTCCGGCGGAACTCCCTCTGGCCCAGACACTTTCCAGGCAAGCGCTCCCTGTGACGTTGGCAGCATTTTGGATGATGTCAGCCGTCCTCTGCAGGCACGTAAAGCGCAGGTGGGGATACGTGCTGGTCACGCAACGCCCTGCTGTATATGCGTCCAGTCGAGCGGCCCCTTCCGCGCCAAGCAGTTGTCCAGCGGTTCCAGCTCACCCGAAGAGGACTCTAAACGTCATTGAGGGTATCGTTCACAGGTACCGGTTTTCCTATTCACCGGTTGCAAAAGTCGTTCCTGCTGCCGCTCACACTCCCACCCCAGCGTTCCCGGTCCAAGACTGCCCCGGTGAGTTTTGCAGACGGTATCTATGTACCTGGCTGCCTGTGGTAGGTACCGTACACGGTGCTGAGAAGGCAGGGACTCGATCACTGATTGGCAAGGGCCACTGGTGCAGTGGTGGCAGGGGGAGCAACGTTGAATTTGCCACCATTTCAATTCAGCATTTCTGCAGCACAGCTGCGGTCAGGAGCTTGCAATCGCCCTCTGGCTGCATTGGCTGCCTGTTGCTGCATTTGCCCCTGCATTCAACGGAGCTGGCACCTGTTCCTGCTTCCCAGGGCAGTCGCCTTCGGCGACTGTGGTCGAGCAGGGGGTGGCACCAGAGGCGAAAACGAGCGTAATTTGAACAAGCAGCAAGCAGAGCACGTGTGTGCAATTTGTGTGTGCAATTGACCTAGCCAGCAAGTGGCATCCGTATTCTGGAGGATTCTCACTGCATCTTGTCGCTCATAGCGGTTGGCACTTCAGGTCTCACCAAAAAGCATAGCCTTTCAGGACAGATTTCAAATAGCAGCTACAGACATGGCTTTCATGACAGCACAGACAGCGTCTCACATGGAGGTCGACCTCTCCGCCAGCTTGTATGAGGCTGACAGTCTTCCAAGCCAGACCTCTTTCGTAAGTTTGTCTCCTGCTCGATTCTACTGGGCTCAGAGTTACTTATCCTTCCTGAGTGCATATTGTAGCACATTGCTGGGATTGCCTTTGAGTGGTGATGATGAATTGGGGTAGATCACTGTTGCTGGTTGCTGTTATTGAATGCATACATGTTCACAGCTTCGACAAGGTTGCCGACTTTGTTTAAAGGTCTGTCTCATCTGTGAATGTTGGAGTCTGGACTGCAACCAGAGCCAAAAGCACAAAATTGTCAAGAGCTTGTGACAGTATTGTACATCCTCCTCAGATCCACCCTGGAGACAGGATCTGAGCTTTATGAGCAGTTGATTGGAGAAGTTACACACAATAATCAGGAATCTGACAGGTCTAGACCAAAGCAGTTGCACCAATCAAGAATCCTTGGCCAGAGCGAAGCGTCCACTTATCCAGTTCTGTGAACAGAAACTCCCATCTTCCTTTCAAGTCAAGAGAGCATCTCGCTATATTGCTGGATACCATTCTCGGTCCACCTTTCCTTTTTCAATCCCCTGTTACCAAATCTCGTACCATTCCTCCTCCAGGTTGACCTCATCAGCGCCGACTCTGACATGGACCTGGACCCCCAGGAGAAGGAGGAGCTCCTCTACAGCGACGAGCTCACCTTCGACATCGAGGACCTTGGGTTCGACAACCCCTTCGCCGACTTTGAAGACACCGACCCTCCCCCCCAGGGGGTCCAGAGCTTGCAGGAGGAGTTTGCCCTGGCAGCCGGTCATCTTGGCCAGTATCAGCCATTGGACTTCAGGGTAGACGAGGCTGTGGCAGGGTTTGGAGGGTTTGCTAACCCCGCAGGGGGTTTGGCTCACCAGGCAGCTCTGGTTGAGGAGGATTATGTCAGGCTGAGGCGAGCCGAGGGCGGAAGGTACGGGTTTGACATCGTGATCAGGGGGGGAAGGGCGTACCCCGTCCTGCAGAACGCCGCGGCGGCACAGGCCCCCCGGGGAGATCATGGGTGGCACGATCTGGGGCATCCTGTGTGGCATGGGGGTCAGGAACAGCAGCAGCAGCAGGGGGGTCAGGAGCAGCGGCGGCGGCACGGAGTTTTTAGGGGGGGTATCGGTGGTGACGAGTTTGAGGGGTTGCTCGGGATTGGTGAGGCGGCCCTGGTTGGAGAGGATCCTGTTGAGGGTGTTGGCGTCTGCGAGCATGCACCCCAGGCCCAGGAGAATGGGGTGCTCAACCCCGCGAATAATGGGGGCGAGCTTTATATCGACCCCCGAGATCAGGCAGATTGGCGAGGTGAGATTGTTGCTTGCTTGAAGAAACCAACTGCTGTGTGATCTGCATGCAAAAAGACCTCTACTTTCAGGTTTCAGTTTTCAGTCCCTAAAGCTTCTATCTTGGCTGCAAATGATGGTTCTAGAAGGGTCGAATCTTCCAGAGCTGGAAAAGGTGCAAACTGCATCATGTATGCCTAGGAACCTGTCATTTCAAGTTTATGCAGAGTTCAGAATCTGAAATCTCTTAAACAGCTAGCTTGTCACTTCCTAAACAAACTTTTCGTTCCGACAAGTCGTATCCTCATTTGACGCTCGACAAACATTCCTGATTGTAAACTGCTCATTTTTGCCTCCTTCCAGACGACCACCCACAGCGCATCAACTTCGACTTCGCAGCAGCAGCAGCAGCAGCCGCGGCGGCGGCGAATGACATCGCGCCAGCTGGGGCGCGCCCTCCACCGCCCCCCCGGCCCGACCTCCCGCCCCCGCACGCTATTGCTGCAGCTGCGGTTGACGTCCTCGCCAGCCGTCACGTTTCACTAGAGGAGACGTGGTCCCATTTTTCAACAAGCACGCGCCGGCTGCAGAGCTTTCTCGCGTCCGTGATGTCCTCGTCCAGGCGCCACCTGGCAAGCACGCCCCAGATTGCGGCCCTGCAGGAACTATTCGCGGACGGAATCGCGGCGCGCGCGGCCCAGGAAGCGTACTCGGGCAGAGAACTAGGCGCGGACTGGTTTGCAGCCGCTGCTCAGCCGTTTGGCGGTGCACAGGAAGCGTTGATGAGGCAGGTCGGGGGCGTTGTTCTGGACCGCCCGGTGATTGGAGACGGAGTCGCGTTGGGCGGGGCACAGGAGCCGGTGACGAGGCGAATCGGAGGCGTAGCTTTGGACCGTCCGATGGTCGGAGACGCAGCCGCGTTTGGCGGCGCACAGGAGCCATTGATGAGGCAATTCGGGGGCGTCCCTTTGGACCGTCCGATGGTCGGAGACGCAGCCGCGTTTGGCGGCGCACAGGAGCCGTTGATGAGGCGATTCGGGGGCGTCCCTTTGGACCATCCGATGATTGGAGATGCAGCCGAGGTGCTGCGCGTGGAGCGGGAGCTTGGTGCCGCGCGGGGCCTGGTGGCCGACATGGCTGCGGCGTACGGGCCAGCTGTTCCCGTCAGAGGAGGTGAGGAGCCTATCTCCCTTGACCTTTCTTATTTGTCAGGCGCGTCAACCTTATTGAGTCTTTCGAACAATTGATTGCGAAATTAAGAATGTTTCCGTCCGGGGAAGCGAGGAGGCTATCTTGCCTTCTGCAGTAAGTGCTGAATCTTAACTGAGGCTCGTTCCCAAGCGTGAAAGAGCTGTGTTCATCCGCAGCTGTATTGTCGCACATCAAGATCGAGCGCTCTGATCGCCAAAAAGCCTTTTGTTCTGAGCGCTCAGTTCAACTTCCGCATAAGGAGGAGGAAAAACATTTGAACAAGGCAACCGTGATCACTTATCATGGAAGGCAGATTGCTTGCTGGTCAAGATGGCCTTGTGTTCTTTGGATTTGAGTGGCTGGATTGGTTCTTGCTATCACGGAGTTTGACACTATCTTTTCGGTTGCTAACCACCGCTTCCTCTTGCATGCAGAGCTGGTGTTCATTGGCGGTCGTGGCCAGGATGGGCGCGGCTGCCAGCTGGCAAATATTGCCCGCAACACTGCGCTGAGTAGTGGGCTCGAGACTTCTGCCTCAAAACGGGCCAAGTACGCGCTCAAGATGAAGAACAAAACCATGAAGCGGAACCCAACCGCCGTCCTGACGGCGTGCAAGCTGACGCTGCCGTCCGTGTTTGCGACGCTTCCCACTGTCGCGGTCTGCTGAGATCAGCAACCAACCGTTGCGGTCTGCTGACGTCTTCCGCTAGGTTGTTGACTTTGAGAATGTGTTTGTGCGGTCCTCAGGCAAACCTGTAAAAAGGGTGCGACAGTGGTGGTCTGGAGCTCGAATGAGAGGGAGGGGACAGGATCGGATAGGTGGTTGTAGACAACGTGGACAAGAACGTCAAAACTCTTCTGGCCTTGGAATGGCCATCTGCTTGCTTCGAGGCACAGTACAGGGCCGGCGAAAGGGGCCTCTTGGGAGGAGTGCTGTTTTTGTAGTCCGCTCGCTTCGAAGACCCTGGTCGAGAACTCGAGGCCCGGCCTGTAGATATTGACTGTTGTAGATAGCCCGTATGCGGGTGGTTGTTCGAAGTTCGAGGCGGGATGGGTACATAAGGCCTTATGCTTGCAAAATAGGTTTCCTTGCTGGCTCCAACCGCTAGGCTGCACTCGTTAGGGTTCTATGTGTATGAGAGCCATTCGGGCGGTGTCACGGGACAATGAACCTCAATTACGGCCCGTAAAGCCTAGTCCACCGATTGCCAATTCAGTCAGTGAGAGCACCAATCCTCTCCTTATTTACGAGACTAGTGGCAAGCGCGTAACAGCTGCTTCCGGTCTCATGGGATTGAAACTCACCAACGGTGCTGGGACTCTAACGATCTCGCTGCTTCACACCATTGTATATATGTCATGATGGTCACCGGGTCAACTTTTAATAGTACAGTACAGAGTCTGATCTTCACCATGCATGAAGCTTATGAAGCAAGATGATTTGTAGCCGCGAGCCACATAACTGTACATAGGCCATATGTCCAACATGCTGCCTTAAGCGCCGTTGGCCGGACGCTGGCACTGACTTAAGTAATGATAATGACTTACATATGTATGTATGTAAGTTTGCAGACCATGCACGCACTGAAGGATTGATCCATCAGAGCATGGCCGGACAACGGGGTCACGGCATGCATGTAAGTTACCTTTAAAGTAGCATTGGGTGGCCTCCAACATGTCAGTGACTCAGTGATTACGAGCGGAAGTCATGACGCGGGCCCCGCTTGCATGAATGACATGTAGCTTATTAAATGATCTCTTGCGCCTAGCCAGGGAACCCTGTATAGGCAACCCTGTTTCTTGGGCTTATATACGGCCCTTCGGCTGCATATCAGAATGGGACCGTCACGATGCAATTGATGAAACGAATGAAAACCAAAACCCAACTTGATTGATTGGAGAAAGGCGCAGCGATCACTATAGATGACCACTTTTGTATGGACGCAAGCAAGCACTATCAAAGAAGTCACGCCGTCCCGTCTGGTCCAAAAAGTGAATGCCGCGCCCGGGTGCAGCATACTTTACTCGCAACTCTGGAGCTCGTTTAACATCCACACACAGATGATTGTGACCGCAGAACGAATCACATCATTGGATTCTTCATATTTATAGGGGGCCTGGGACCAGCCCGGCCTGCTGATAAGCTCCGGCATATCAGTAACTTCGCGGAGGTTTCTCCAGTGCGAAGTTCCCTAGCTTGCCACCCCTGTAATCTTTCAGCACTCGATGTGCCGCAACGTCTACATCACCGTTGAAGAGCTTCTGGGCGATGTTTTCTAGGTACCTGCAATCACAAGTATGCATCATCTTCAAAGGGTTCTGGAGCCTTTTCTGCCTTGATCTGATATAACGCTCCTAACTAGAAACGCACGACTCACTTCAGGCCGATGCGGTGTGTTGAAAGAAGCTCCTCGCTTGTCGCACACTTCGGCACGTTAATTATTGTTTGCATCACATTTCAAGGAAACTTGAGTGCCCATTCAAGGAAAGAATATTGTAACATTGCAGCGGGCAACGCTCTGGCGCAAAAGCAACCCGGCGAACGGCAACGAAAACGCAGGCAACGCAACGCTTTCAAAGCGAGTTCAATCTGATAACCAGTGTTTTCCGGAATGGTCGTTTACATTCACACAAGTCCGGAGGATAGCATGGCCCCTGCGCAAGAGTAACATACACACACATAAGAGACTGTTCCGAAGTACAAGGTCCCCCTTTTCTTCGCAAATGTGCGCCTGGCCGATAATGACAAGCAATCACGAAAAATAAAATCTTGCAGAAGAGCTTACGTTTCTGCGGGTAGGCTCCGGAGCCCCGGTAACTTATATCGCTCCTCAAAGTCATGTATACCTGAAGGCAAGGAAATGTATGGCTCGCTTCAATGCCATAGGATTCAGCGCAACGGGCAGTCAATATTAAGCATGGCCGTTCCTTCGACGTAACAGTGCGTGCAAAAAGTAGAGGTAGGAAACGTTACAAACAGAAGAGGGTACGTGGATTCGAGGGAAGCCACAACATACGACGACGGACCTCCCACTCGGGATCTGCGCTGCTATATTTTGAGCATCAAAAGAAGAAGCACCGCAACAACTCCTGCTTGTTGGATCAGGCCCCAGATTGCACCCTGCCCGGCCTCCGGCGAACCCTCAAAAGCAGTTTCCGCTTCCTCGACACTCAGAAAGACCCAAAGAGGGGCCTTTGCGGAAGCCAATCCAACGCTGCTGAGCACTCTCTGATTCCAAATCAAACGCAAGCAGCAGAGGAAACCCACGAACGTGTTTTCCCAAAAACTCACATTTAGGCGCGGATCGCTTCACGTATTCGATCAGGATGACGGCCACCCCCGCGACGGCATATGCCGCCTGCCCGATGTCGTTGCAGATCGCGAGGCGCGCCGCTGCCGCCTGGTCTTGGAGCCGGGCGGGGAGGACCCCCGGGGAGTCGAGCAGGTCCAAGTTCGCCCCAATCCGTAGCCAACTGCAGACGGAGTCTGCTTGAATCAGACCTTTGCTTGCAGCTTCTGAGGCTTCAACTTTAAACTGTAAGATCGGTGTTAGGCGGCCTGCCAGGTTTGAAACTGGGCGGGAAGCACTCCCGGGGAGTCGAGCAGGTAAAGGTTCGCCCTGAGCCTGAGCCGACTGCAAACGAATTTGCGCTGGAAATCGCGCGAGCGAGAAATGGAGGGAAGCTAGCTGGGGATTGCCCACGGCTGAGACAAGCTTAGGGGTCGCAAAGATAGGTTCAAGCGGCTGCTATGCGTCAGAGATCGGGCAGGGAGCACTTCCAAAAACCCGAGGAGGTCAATGTTGAGCTCAATCGACAGCCGTCAGCCAACTGCAGAAACGTATTGCCCGCGATTACTGCGTTGAAGTCACAGTAATCGCTTCAAAGCAATCAGCTTCAACGCAATCGGCTTCGAGCTCTATTGCGCAGATGCTTTAGCTTCAACTCACTTGCCTGGTGGACTTGACGTGGGGTTTGAAACGTCCCCAGAAGTTGAGTCCAGGTCGGCACTCCCCCGACCGTCCAGAGCAATCTCATGTATACAAGCCGAGCTCTTTGACCGAAAGTCTGACTGCGATGGACCCTTCGACCTGCCGCGAATGAATGGAGTCAAGAGCTCTTCGCGGGTTCGAACAGCTACAGTCAGAAAAACTGAGAAAGACCGAGGCAAACGAACCAGTCATGACGACAGGATAATCGCAATCAACCTGCAAGAACAGGAATAACTGGAAAAACGGAACTGTTCCACTACGATTCCACGATGTGATTCGACAAGAGCGTTCGGAAGCTTACACAAGCTCGCGGGTGACTCCCGGGCGCGGCGCGCTGTTGGCGACCCGCCGCTTGAGCAGGCGGTTGATGATGGCCGACTTGCCGACGTTGGGGTACCCGATCACGGCGCACCGCACCGGCCGCGGGAGCAGACCCTTGGCTTCCCGCTTGCCGTTAATGTCACCGCTGACACGTGTCGCCTCCTGGGTCAACTTCAAGATCCCCTGCAGAGCGTCAAAGCCGGAGACTGAATCTCGGTATCCTTCGTATGCCGAGATTTCGGCCGGATACTAGGAAAGGAAACGTTATCTAGACACTTCAGGGCTCCCTGACTCTAGGGAGAAGTGACGATCTTAAAAACGTAACTTCTGGAACCAGTAAGACCGCCAGCCTGAAACGAGTACGGTTACTCTGGAGGTTTAGAGTAGGTACGGGTACGGGCCAGCGAACAAATGGGTCAAGGTGTCTGCGTTTTCGGGCTTATTATTCCTAGAGCTCACTGGAGTCCTGTGTTGTCACGGCAAAATACTAGGGCTTTCAAGTTCGGGTTTCATCGTGCAAAGTTCTCAGCGTACGAGGTCCTAGAGGTGAATTGAGTGTCGCGTGTCGAAAGGAATCAAGAAACGAATGTTGTCATTTCGGTGCCGAGACAGGTTGCTTGTTGGGTTAGCATTGCAATGCTCCGCTCGAAGGGTTTCTGAATCAAGGTCGTCAGGACCGCACACATCAAGGTTCCAAAGATGGAGAAGAGTAAGTCTAAAGCAGAGACGCACAAAGGCTGCAGGAGATGGTAAACATCGCGAAGAGGATGTAAAACCCTGACCAGACCTTCAGGGGGAAGTACTCACGATTAGAAAGACTTTGCTCCAACTTCTCACCCCTCAGGGTCCAGTCCAACTAAAGGCAGGCCAAAGCATTCAGCACATTCCAGAAGCAGGAAGGAACAGGAGCGCGAATCGAGACTGGAAAAGCAGTCTATCAACCCTCTTTATAATATAAACTGGGAAGTCGTTTGGAATTCCCAAAGCAGCCCGTGCCTTTCCATCATCCTCTGACACCAGCAAACTCAGGAGGCCAAAAACTGAGCCTAGAACCTTTGAAATCTCAACTGCACGTACGGAAATGTACAACTAACTTACATCTCCCGCTTGTCCGTTTGTCCAGATCACGGTCTGCCCCTGCGCCCTGAAGTACTGCCTCCAGGCGGTTCTCTCGCGGTTGGAAATCTGGTCCTCCCTATTCATAACCAGCAAGCGCCGCCGATCGCCTATCCACTCGCCAATCTGCAGAGTTGGCTCCAAAATCACTAAAAGCAGCGGTCTGAGGTCAAGCAAGCGTGTTTCGATGGCCTATCAAACGATTCTGCAGTATAAGAACCTTTCGAACAGACTGATCTGGTTGTAGGGCTCCCTTCCACTGTGTCAAAAAGAGTGAAAAGTTGCACGACTTGATCTACAATCTGCACAACGGCATCCGTCAAACTCCGTTTTACACACATATCTGCCTCCTGAGTCCTCAGACGTCCGTTCTAAGTGACCTCTTATAGATCCAGATATAGCAGAAAGCTCGTAGCAGTATATGAGTGCAACGAACTCAGAGCAGGGCCGTACGTCAGACCCAAAGCTGCTTGGGTGGATCAGGCACTGTTCAGTACATCAAGCCGCTTTAGATTCGATCAAAAGAGAGCCTACTTCCGAGTGCGAACCTTTATGTTCTGTTCGCTTATAGCCTGGGTCTGTACACATCTTCTGACGACCTCGCAAAAGCTGGCAGGCTAAAAGCAAGGGGTGTATTCGTCACTATTGCTTCTTCAAAAGAATAACGGAAAATAGAACAAATAGCCCAGACGGGTCAGCGATACTTGCCTCAGGGTGTGCGGTGGCCATGGGTATCCTGGCGTCCCTCACTTCCAGGACAACGTCCACCAGCTTAAGCTGCTCCTTGAGTTGGCGCTCAGCCTTAGCAATGTGACCAGGGTACCACTGCACACCATATTGCGTGGATTTGAGTATTTTGGTGACTTCAGAGATTCAGGGTTTCAGCATATGACAGGAACACAAGTTACTATGAAGCGCTTGAGTTGAGGTGGTGGTGGGATGCATCTAGACTTGTTGGGGTTCTCTGAGAAAATCTCAAAGAAAAAGTTGAAGTGGTACGACAGTGCGCAGCACTGAGTACGACGAGATGCAGACTGTCAAAGTAGGGATGCATTTGTCACAGATTTCAAGTAATTTCAAATAGCCAAATGAGAGCTTGAGATTACCTCTGAAATTTACTGCGGGTCACTTGTCTTAGGTGAAGGCAACTAACTTTTTAATGTCCGTGCAATTAGACTAGTTGAATATATTTGGAGGCCCAAACCATGACGCCAATTAAAAAGAAGGGTGGTGTACGATCAAAGAGATCCTCATCAAGGAGGCTTTAGGAGTCGCGACAGCCCTTGCTTTCAGATGTTCTGCAATCTGCAGACATTGCTCATTATTGCCAGGTCAGGCAATGCCCTCACCTGCACGAGCCTGACTGTCCTCGTCATGAAACCTGCATCCCTCTCGGGCTCATTTAAATCGATTGCTTGACTATGTCGCCACTCCCTTTCAAAGTCCCTCTCTGGCTTCTTGATTGAAAAGCTGCTAGCCCCACTGCTTTCAGTCTGTTGGTCCACACCAACTTTATACACAAGAGGCTCCTCCCAGGTGCTGGCCTCTTTGTTTGGCTGCTCAGGAGCTGCGCTGGACGGAGTTTCCGTTGATGTTGGGGAGGTCGCAGCTTTGCTTGGAGGTGACTCTGGTGTGGCAGTGGATCCTTGAGTGGCAAATGTGGCCACTTGCCTGGAGGACCCTTCCGATGGAAGTGGTGGTCGAGTTGCGTTCAAAGTATGTGGTAATGGGTTTAAGAATGCTGGACGGGACTGATTCGCACTGATGAGCCATGGAAAGTTTGACAAGGCCTTTGCAGGGAGACCCCTCTCACAATATAAATGAGCATCGTGTCTCCTACGTACGCGCCCTTCCCTAGAGTGGCAGAACGACTGCTCTAAGAAACCGGATGCTCTGCCCGAGACGCTGGCCGCGGCTGAGCTGCTCAACCTCTCCATTGCAAGAGAATAGCCAGCAGCAAATTCTGGCACCGTCAGTACGCCAGGCATCGGCACCTTTGACCACCTCCCTAGCTAGCCGACAATGAGAGCCTCCCTTGTGGCCTCCCCTTCGAAGTTCAGCCTCGGCCACCCCTGAACTTGTTCAAAGCGTGCGTTGACATCAGAACTTCGAACAATGCAGCAATCCACAGCATCCCGTGTCCAGTTCCCACAAACAAATGATCTTAAGTAATTTCGGAACTGTTTCCACGAGCCGCTTTCTTCTGTGAAGACAATGCACTGAAGGGCACATGTGTTGACAAGAACACGGCCCTACCTGCTGCTTACTCTTTTTAATACCTAATTTATTGGAAGCAAACTTGCAAAGTTTGATCAAAGAACTTGCGTACATCTGAATCCCAAGAAAGGAGCAGCAGCAGCAGCAGCAGTAGCAAATCTGCTGCTCGTCACTTATTAGATCGAACAAGGAAGCCTTAGGATTCGTAGGAAGGGCGTCCATTCCAATTTCTGATCCTGACTCTGAGCGTCCGACAGTAAAAGGGGTGCCAAACTGCCTCGCAAGAAGGAATATGCGAGGATCTGAAAGAGGTCCTGTCTACTCAGCAGCCGACTCTTTTGATTATGCTTGCCCTCATTTCAAACACATTGTTTCATAGACGTCCCGGGATCAGCAGCTGCTAGGGTTGGCACGCAAAGAGGAGTCCAAAAATCCACTTGAGGAAGGAGAAGCCAGCTAGGCTAGCTGATGTCTGCAATGGGCATCTCGGCTGAGGAGCTCAGCACAATCGGCGGCATTGCAACGGTGTCCACGCTGCACGCATTCATCCCAACGCATTGGCTTCCATTCTCCGTAGTGGGACGGGCGCAGAAATGGACCCTGACAACCACGTTGGCAGTTAGTAAGTGCCGTGTCCTGCAATTTAAATCATGGTCTTGTGCGTGACTTAGGTCCGAGAGATTTCTGCCAGGTGTGGAAAAATACATTTGAGTTGCTGATGGATTGCCGTGCTGGTACAGGAGAGGGAACACATGTGAGACATGCTTAGATGCACTTCCTTATGGTTAATTGCATAGGAAAGAAGCATCTGGTGTGTACATAATGGACTTGCGGTGAATTGCCTTCTTCTGGCTCTTGATTGAGTCTTGCAGCTATCTTTCTAATACATATACCTCATTTTACTGTTTAGGGGCACTTACGTCACCATAGAAAGCTCAGTTGCTCTCGTTGTAAGACTCAGTAGGCCTCTTGTTTGATTGTTTCTGCTTAATACCGAAGGGATTCTGTGCAGTGGGGAATAGGATCATCTCAATAAAACATAGATCTGCTGGCTGTGACCTCTCCGCCCAATTTACCCCATCATACTAGGTCTCTGTAAGGATCATAAGAGTTGAAGTCATTCAAGAGGCACAGACTCATCCTTTTGAATGAAGCTGACGTCCACCTTGTCTTCCCCTGGCTTGCGCAGCGGCACTGGGCGCCTTCTGCCACACGGCCTCTACTTCGCTTCTAGGCCTCGGCGCTGTGAAGATGGCGCATTCGGTGCTCCCCGAGGAAGTGGTCCACTCCTTCGCAAGCCTTTTACTGGTTGTGCTCGGTTTTGGGTACATTGTTCTCTTCTTAACAGGGCGGGGGGGGCACTCGCACGCAGGGCATAACCACAATATGGAGAAGGCAGCCGTGGCGGGTTTGATTTTGGTACCCACCCTTTCGCCGTGCGCTACCGTCTTGCCGGTGTTTCTTGCCGTTGGAAACAGCAAAGACGGGAGCTTCCTAGTCTTGGTCGTTGTTCTCCTTCTTGCCACCCTCACAGTAATGCTGGCGTTGGTAACGATAAGTTTCCTGGGAGCTGCCCAGCTAAAGTTTGAATTCATGACGAGGTATGATAAGCTGTTGGTTGGTGTGGTTCTCTGTCTAGTGGGCATTCTTACAAATGTGTTTCACCATCACGATCACGATGAATTGGTGACAGCAGAGGTAACATGAGAGAACGCCTATTATGACCCCCGTCACCCATTTAGTTTGAACATCCAAAGAACTGCTCACGAGATTGTACAGGAAAACCAGCTTAAATTGCCCCCAGTCACTCGCTCATTCAAGAATCTTGCTGGTCAGGATCGCTTCTTGTGGCATTAATCCCATTGGATAGATGGGCAACTTGCTTTTGTTGTGATTAGCAGCTGGAAAGCATCTGCCAAGAGGCCTCAGGAATTCGTTATCCATCTTAACAAATTCAGAGGCACTCTGAAGATACCGCCCTATGACATTCACGAGCTTTGATTCGACCTTCATGGTGTTTCGGATGGGGTTATGGAAGGCTGACTCGAACAATCTTGGTAGCAATCAGCTTGGACGTGCACTATTCTATCTTGCATGAGCCTCTCTTCATCATTTCAAGGCTGGCCAGCAGTGGCCGCACACCTGCATAAGGGCAAGCACATTCTCGGATGATCCCGTACAGCTATATCAATTCTCGAAATTGTAACATATCCAATAATCTCAACCTGACAAGTGAGCCGGTACAGCCACCAGGAGCCATTCATGAACGTTTTGCACAGATAGCGCGTGTGACGATGCTCGATGAGCTCTAGGCGGGTCCGGGTCGAGCGCATAGCGTATGGACATCATATAGGCATATAGCGTATGCACACTGGACATATTTCTGCCCACTCTAGTTGGTTAGGCTTGAGACTCAAACATAAGCTCGACTGCAAGGTTGCTCCTGCAACCTTTTGTAAGTTGCTGGTCATAGGGACTCAGAGGGCGCGCTATGGCGCCGGTGCCTGTTTGCCCTATCTTCATCCAGTGCCGAAGCG